TGAATGGAAGGGGCGGGAAAAGCTGACAGGGGGTGGGGTGGGGAAATGGGGGACTGGAAAAAGTCCCCACATCCAGCAGAGAAGGGTCCACAGCAATCCAGCCAAGTGCCACCTCTGTGCTTGTCCACACTCGTGCCTTGGGATCACAGCACCTTCCTCTGCACTAGAGATAGGTGGTGTGGCGTGACTGGTGACTTGGCACGCGAGTGCTGCTGAGTGACAGCCACAGAGCTTAGCTTCTTGTGTTTGGGCAGATGTAGAGAAGGAAGCGAGGAGGCTTGGAGGTCTGGAGATGCAGCCAACAGCAGCAGCAAGAGCAGTAGTACCCAGATGAAAACAGCCTGGCTGAAGGGAATCAACTGGTGCCCATTCCAATGGGAATCAAGGCCATTTGCGGTTGTTAATGTTCGAATCAATATGGTGGTTGTGAAGGTGACCCAAGTGTGGAGAGGGAGATGTGCCCAGTGACGGGGCTTCCTGCCGGGGTGGGAAAAAATCCTCTCTTTGAGGTTGCCAGAGGCTGTGGCTGGCCCTCCCTCACAGGGCCACTGCTTCTGGGGGGTGTGCGGCTCTCCTGTCTGGGGCCACAGCCATGGTCCAGAATGAGACAGGGCCTAGTCACAGGCTGGTGGGGCTTCAGCAGAGATGCCCAAACTCCCCTGAACCCCTTCTTTGTTTCCACCTTTTCAGTCCCTTCACTTTCTCCATTTTCAAACCCACCACCCTTTCTTTTTCTTGTTTTCTTAAAATTTTGATTACAAAGTACTTTAAGCCTTCAGAAAATCACACAAGATACTAAAATACCCATCACTCAGCACTGTCTCATTTTAAGAGATAAAATCTTGCCAGGCACAGTGGCATCTGCCTAAAGTCCCAGAGCTTTGGGAGACCAAGGTGGGAGGATTGCTTGAGGTCAGAAGTTCAAGACCAGCCTGCTCAACATAGTGAGAAACCGCCTCTACAAAATAAATACATAAATAAAATCTCACGTGTGGCTGAGCCCCTTGACCTGTGAACACTTTCGTCCATTTCTCCTGCCTAGAGTTGTAACAACTACCCTGGGTTAGGATTATAACCCCTTAATAGCCTTTGTTTCTGTGTGTGTGTCCATAAACATATAGCACAGTTTTGCATGCTTTTAAAGTTTTAATAATATAACATGTAACAGTATTTTATTAAAATTTTTTTTTTTGGATAGAGACAGGATCTCACTGTGCTGTCCTGGCTGTCCAGGCCCCTGGTCTCAAGCAATTCTGCCACCTTGGCCTCCCAAAATGCTGGGATTACAGGCATGAGCTACCCAACCTGGCCTAATAATATATTTTTAGACCTAACATAGACAAAATAGTATCCTTTCAGCACGTTATCAATATAAATATCATTGAGATACATTTTTATTTGTTAATTTGTTGCCATAGTTGTACATATTCTGAGGTGTACAGAATATTTTGATATATGTATGCAATATGTAATGATCAAATCAGGGTAACTGGGATATCCATTTATGTATCTTTTTCTTTGTGTTGGGAAGATTTGCGTGTAGCATTTTATACCCCAACTAATTTATCCATTCTCCGGTTAATGGACACTTACATGCTCTCATGAATAATGGTGCAACAAATATTCTTGCAAAAGCACTTTCGTGCCCACGTGCAAGTTTAGTCTCTAGAGTACACATACAGGTTTGTGTATCTTTAACCCTGCAGGACGTTGCCAAATTGCTTTCCAAAGTGGCTCTGGGGAATATTCCTCCAGCAGTGTAAGAGGTACCATGGTTTGAATGTCCCCTCTGAAACTCAGGTTGAAATTTAACTGCCATTGTAATGGTATTAAAAGGTGAGACCTTTAAGAGATTATTAAGCCATGAGGGCTCTGCCCTCACAAATGAATTAATGCCATTATCTTGGTAATGGGTTAGTTTTCGAGGGCATGGTTTCCTGACAAAAGGAATGAGCGTGGCTGATTTCCTCTCCCTGTCTCTGCTCACTTCTGCCTTCCACCATGGGATGACCCTTACCAGATGCTAGAGTCATGTTCTTGGACTTCCCAGCTTCCAGAACCATGAGCCAAATAAAATTCTGTCCTTAATAAATTACCCCAGGCCGGGCGCGGTGGCTCAAGCCTGTAATCCCAGCACTTTGGGAGGCCGAGGCGGGTGGATCACGAGGTCAAGAGATCGAGACCATCCTGATCAACATGGTAAAACCCCGTCTCTACTAAAAAAAAATACAAAAAATGAGCTGGGCATGGTGGTGCGTGCCTGTAATCCCAGCTACTTAGGAGGCTGAGGCAGGAGAATTGCCTGAACCCAGGAGGCGGAGGTTGCAGTGAGCCGAGATCGCGCCATTGCACTCCAGCCTGGGTAACATGAGTGAAACTCCGTCTCAAAAAATAAATAAATAAAAATAAAAAATAAAAAAATAAATTACCCAGTCTGTAGTATTCTGTTATAGCAACATAAAACAGAGTAATACAAGGGGGATCCCGTTTTCCCACATCCTAGAATATTTGGCATTGTCAGATTTTTTTAAAAACTTTGCCTCAGAGATGTGTATAAAACAGGATCTCCTAATCATTTTCTCTCTCAAGGCCCCAGTGCTTCTGGAAGCTCCCCCTGCCGTCCTTACTGCAGTCACAGGTACTGATCAAGCATAAAGAGCTTGGCTGTCTTCCGTTCTTCTGGCCTCTAAGTCATGGGAGTGTCCAGAGCTATCTGCTGGGCCTCATTCTCCATTGACCTCTCTCTTTAGGTAATCTCTCCCTGCCACCATGCTGTAGAATGCCAACCACACGTGCCAGTGACTTCCAGATGTAGAAAAATCTCCATCCAGAATGTCAGAAGCTACTTCACAGATTTATTTGATGGCTGATAAGCAACTGAAATATCATTTAATCTGCCCAAAGTTCAACGTGGTTTCCCCCTCAGGTCTAATTCCTCCCATCTCAGTCAGGGGCAATGCCATTTATTAATTGCTCAAACCAAACACTTGGGAGCCATCCCTGATTATTCTCTTTCCACCGCCCCCATATTCAATCCATCAAGTGATATCAATTTCTATGTCAAATTGTACCGAAATTCCCTCGCTTCTTTCTATTTCCACCCTTACCACCTTGGTCCTGGCTACATCATCTCTTGCCTAGACCACTGTAGTTGCTCCTAACTGGTCTTCCTGTTTCTCATCTTGCCCTTTCCAACCACCTCAGTGACAAAGGGATCTGTTTAGACCATAAAACAGAAGTAAAATGCCATTCCCCTACGTAAGGCCTTCCAAAGGCTCTCATCACAGGACACTCAAGTTGGGGAATACCAACAGCTGCAAAGTTGGCAAGACCTGGTCCCTGCCTGCTTCTCCTTCTGCACACCTTCCTGGCCTTCAGAACTTTCTTTCCATGTGGAGGGCTCTTCCTTTGATCTTTTGATGGCATTCTTGTCATTCAAGGCTCTGTCAGTGACAAAAAGACCTGCGCTGACCCACCCGCCCTGGTCTGTGTGGCCGCTTCGTCGCTCCCGCAGCATTACCTTCATCTGTCTTCATTCCGGAACCGCTCAGTGCTTGATTCTGGGGTCTTTCTGCCCCACCAGAATCTCATCTCCACAAGAACTGAGATCTTCTCAGCCTTACTCCCCATTTGTAGTGCCTGGCACGAAGCGGGAGCCCAAAAAAGTTTGTCAAAATAAAGGGTGAATAGGTGAGGTCACATTTTAGAATAAGCTTTAAGTGCAAATGAAGCTTCCCTCCCAGATTCTGGGTGGGATAAAAGTTACTTAAGATAAGACAATGGCAGGGCACTTTGGAGGCCAAGGCGGGCGGATCACCTGAGGCCAGGAGTTCAAGACCAGCCTGACCAACATGATGAAACCCTGTCTTAAAAAAAAAGATAAGACATTTCTCTTTAGTGAGAACCATGTTTCTCAAACTTCTTAGCCTCAGGATCCCTTGATGCTCTTAAAAATTATTATTATATTTATTTTTTTGAGATGGAGTGTCACTCTGTTTCCCAGGCTGGAGTACAGTGGCGTGGTCTCAGCTCACGGCAACCTCTGCCTCCTGGGCTCAAGTGATTCTCCTGCCTCAGACTCCAGAGTAGCTGGGACTACAAGCGCACACCACCATGCCCAGCTAATTTTTTTGTATTTTGTAGAGATAGGGTTTCGCCATGTTGGCCAGGCTGGTCTCGAACTCATGACCTCAAGTGATCCGCCTGCCTTGGCCTCCCAAAGTGCCACTCTACACTTACAGTGCCTAGTATGCGCCAGAAAGATTCTGTTGAATGAGCAAATAGGAGGGCGCAAGATTTTAGACCGGCCTTAAGGGTCAGATGCAGGTGCATTAGTCAGCAGGGGTAGGGGGGATCTGAGATGGGGCCACCTTTCCCACTAGATGGCTCTGGGGCCCACTTTCCCTCCTGCCCACTCACCCCCAGCCTCACTCAGTCCTTTCTCTTCTCTTTCCCCAACAATCTTCTCTCCACAGCAGTGCAAAAAATAGAACAAAAAATCATTTTGATGTCTTCAGAAATCAATGTGTAAGCTGGTTATGTCTTTTAAATAAGCTCATTTCTGTAACCAAAATAATAATTGTATGAATTTCAATCCTTAAAAGGGGGTTCCCTTAGAGGGTTTCCCTTGCCAAATGAATACTGAGGCCCTGTTTTGTCAAGATGTATTTATTCCCGTCTATATTCATGTTGAGAAACTAACCCGGTATTATATTATATTCCTTTTCACTTTACTGAAACCTAACAAACTGTGTGTCATATTCTTTTCCTTATTACAATACCGAAACCTAAGTTCTTCCCCTTTCTGAAGAGAAGCTACTCCCTCCCCCTTTATTTTTTCCTTTGGCTAGAGGAAATTCACAAAGCCAAGATTTAAAAAAAAAAGAAAAAGAAAAAGATGATCATCTGTGTTCCTATTGAAGAGCCTGAGCTCCCCAGGCGCTGTGGGCATGCCACGCCTCTCCGCTTCCTGACGTCATACTGTTTTTGTCTTTGAATAGCTCATTGACACAATTGCCTCGGAGATCGGAGAACTGAAACAGGAGATGGTGCGGACAGATGTCAGCCTGGAAAATGGCCTGGAACCCGCTGAAACCCACAGGTGACCAGAGACACGGTTAGGTGATGGGTGTGCGAGATGGATCCAGTGAACCCTGGCAGTGCCAAGGGCTGACTTGGAGTCACTCCTCAGAAGTGCAGCAGCTGGGAGTGTGGTGGCAGCTCTAGACGGATCCTCTGTAGGGGGTGGGAGTGGCCTAGGAGCTAGTTGTCGGCTTGTTTATTTTAATGACTTTGAAGGCACTTGAACTTTATACTCTCTCGATTCCTCCTGGCACCAGAACCCGGAAACCTAAAATTGTGCCATATCCACCTACTCCCAATGATGGAAACAGTAACGCAGCGGGATCCAGCGTGTGCAAAGTAGAATTCAGTGTAGCCGTGTGAGTCTCCAGAAGGCTTACAGGGGAGCAGCTAAAGAGGATGGACTCATTTTGCATTCTCAGGTCAGAAAAAACCCCAGCAGTCTCCAAAACCATTAACCTGAAAAGCCGAGCCATGACTGGAAACTGGCTGCAGTTGTGAATTAGAGACGAACGGGAGACGCGTGCTGTGCTGTTGAAGCCGATACCTGTGCCCGTACAGCACGCTGTCCGAATAGGTGGCAAGGGACTGGTCTGTATCTGGAGAAAGGGGGTGCAAAGTTCAGGGGGTCGGGGTGGTGGTGACAAGTTGGAGATGACCTCTTCCAACTTTGATGCTAACAAGATAACAATATAATGGCTACAAAAACACAGACACTTGGTGCCTTGGAGGCCAGATTCATTATCAGCTTCCCCTTTCTCCCAGAAAGTGGGGCTGAGGCTGCCTGGAGCCGTGTGAGGCTGAGATTTATGAAGTGGATTTTGCTTGCAAGTCATGCAGCAGGCAGGCCAGCCAGACGGTTCTGGTTGTCCAGGCAAGTTTCAAACCAGCCCGACTAGTTCCCCGCCATACGCTGAGGGGTGAGAGCACCATCCCAGCGAGGCACTTTGCAGCTGGAAGGTGGTACTTTGACACCCGATGTCTTTCGGGGAACGGCACTCCCGCTAAATCTCTGTGCCTTCCCTTCCCTTTCCTTCTCTACAAAACGATGGAGGTGAACCAGAGGGTCCCCCTGCCCCTGGCAGCGCACCCAGCATTCTATGATTCCTCTTGACTTTCACGTGAAAGTCTTCAATTCGTTATCTTTTTCCCCATAAACTAGACAAATGCACAACAATTTTCAGGTAGTGACTCTCTGCCTCATCTCCAGAGCAGTTTCAAACATCGTGGATCTTTAGCCAGGGGATTTTTCTGTATCCCATGCCTTGTTGAGCTAAAATTTAATTGGGAGTCTAGGTTGATTACAATAGCATAACGTGAGCTTTGGTGGCACTGACTTCTCCCATAGCCAGGGAAGGCAGCTCTGTGAGATCAACCCCAAGCTCTGCAGATGACAGACACCCAGACACAGAGTAGCGGAAACCTCTCCCCTGTGTATAAGCACGGGGGATTTTAGGGGCGTGAGAAGGACTGTCCAAACACGTGAGGGGCCATTGAGACCTTGTTTCCTGACTCCGTGGAGATTAGAGTGAGAGCCGGGAGCTTGCTTAATCTTTAGTACTTCCTTCCATCTTTTCCTTTTTAGATGTAATAATAACTATAAGCAGTTCACATAGCCTTTTTCCCCAGATGAATGTCACTTTGAATGCTATGTTGCGTAATTCATGAATTTATAAATTTGCAGAGGCATTTTACTTGGATTTTTTTTAACAGAAAAGAAAGAGGAAAAAGCAAGGTGAGTTGTCTTTATTTAACAGTATAGGTTGTGTTGATCACAGTCGACCACTGTTCTAAGTCGTTTATAGTGACTAACTTACTGAATCTTCCTAACGCTCCTAAGAAGGAGAGCTTGCTAGAGCCCACATTTGACCGGTGTGGAAACTGTGTGCTGTGGGGAAAAGCTACAGGGTTTTGGGTTCTGGGCTGGAGTCTCTTGCTGATTTTTTACAAGCAGTGATTTTGCTTTTAATTTCTCCATTTTGTTCAATGCAGCTGTCAGGAGGGCCCGTTTGGTTATTTCCAAAATCAAGGAAAAGCATAGCTGTGGCCACAATTCAGCCTGGCACAGAGCAGCAGCCAATGGGCAGAGGAAGGAAGAGGAAAGCAGACAAGTAGGCAGCAGAGTTGCTTTCAGCCAAACCCCTGCAGAGAGAAGTAGCGAGCGCCCCCGGGCCCTTGGCTCTGCACATCTGACAGCTGCAGGAACGCACTGCAGTCAGCTTCCTTTGCAGCTTTGTACACTGTGAGTGTGAGCTGGGATAGGGAGCCACCTACCCCATCGCGGTCGCCACGAAATGGCTATGGTTCCTTAGTTGGCAGAATACCAGACGGAGCACCGAACTAGTCCCCTAGGTTAGAATCACTACGACTCTAGCTGTGTTGGCATTTGGTTGCTCTTTTGTGGTTAATATTGAGCTTACATGGATCTTTAACTTTTTCTTGTGCCATGACTCCTTCTCTGAGTAATATGTTAAATGCATAAAATAAGACATATAGGATGTCATGAGGAAAACAATTATACTGAAATCCAGTGATCAGTGTTTCAGCGTGAGCTTTCAGTGTGAGCTTTCATGGCATAGGTGCTTCGTTTTTACACATGACAGATAAGCGTAAGTGACACGATCTCTGTAACAGCTGTGACATGGTGAAAACCTCTGTTGTTTCTATGGGTGACAGAATCACAGGCCTTGAGGATACTACTGTGGTTTGTTGCCTACAGTCAAAATGGAAGGAAGTTCACTCGGAATGAGGCTAGGGGAAGGAAAATGTCACCGTTTTCAGCCCGGCCGCGAGTACCCACCTCTCAGCCAGTCTCTCGTCAGCGCCGTCTGCATGGTCCAACTGCCCTCCTTTTTGGGACTCTTGCTTGGCTTGGCTTCTGGGAGCCCACATCTCCCTGGGACCCGCTCGGTGGTCCTGCTGTTGCCCTCAGTGCCCTGGTTGGCTCTTCTTTATCTCCCTGAACTCCAGCCCTGGAGAACCCAGAGATCACACTTGGAGCCTCTCCTTTTCTTTTTTGGTTTGTTTGGATTTTGTTCGTTTTGAGACAGTCTCACTCTGTCACCCAGGCTGGAGTCAGTGGCACAATCATGGCTCACTGCAGCTTCGACCTGGGCTCAGCAATTTTCCCGCCTCTGTCTCCCACGTCGGTGGGACCACAGGTGCCTGCCACCACCACAACCAGCTAATTTTTTTTTTGGTAGAGATGGGCGTCTCTCTGTGTTGCCCAGGTGGGTCTCAGACTCCTAGGCTCAAGTGGTCCTCCCACCTCAACCTCCCAAAGTGCTGGGATTACATACAGGTGTGAGCCGCTGCACCGGCCCAGCCCCTCCTTTTCACTCTTCACACCTCTCCTCTTCTCTCTTTCACTAACTTTGTACAAGGTACTTTAAAAAAATCTGTACCTCAGTGTTCTCATCTTTAAAATGGGGATAATAACAGAGCTGCCTCATAGGGTTGTCAGGAAGATTAAATGAGTTAATAGCTGTCAAGGACTCAGCACAGTGCCTGACACATGGTAACAGACACACCATATGTCGTTTTAAAAGGAGGTCTTTGGAGTAATTTCTTAGGTAATCCTACCCAGTCTTGTGGCTCTGATGCCATCTATACATCGGTTATTCACAACTTATAATTCCTTGGCTGATCCTCTCTTTGAGTCCAGAGGTGTGTAACCAACTGCCCACCCAGGCAGGGCTCTGTCCCAGGTGTCCTCCTTCCTGGGTCTTCCCGTCCTAGTCACCATGGCTCCAGCTTCTTGGGCCTTGCAGTCGTGCCTCTATTCCTCTCCTAACGCCCCTACCATCCATCTCCAAATCCAGGCAGCTCTACCTTTTTTTTCCTTTGAGACAGAGTCTTGCTCTGTTGCCCAAAGCTGGAGTGCAGTAGTGACATGACCTCAGCTTCCTGCAACCTCTGCTTCCCCAGTTCAAGCAATTCTTATGCCTCAGCCTCCTGACATAGCTGGGATTACAGGCATGTGCCAAAATTCCTGGCTTTTTGTAATTTTAGTGGAGATGGGGTTTCACCATGTTTGCCAGTCTGGTCTCAAACTCCTGGCCTCAAGTGATCCACCTGTCTCAGCCTCCCAAAGTACTGGGATTCCAGGTGTGAGCCACCGCGCCTGGCCTCTGCCTTTAAATCGATCTAGGATGGGACCACCTCTCACTAGCACCACTGCAGGCCCCTGCCTGGTGCCTCTGCCCCCACTAGCTCCACTCTCTCCAGGCTATTAGCCAAGCAGCACAGTGAACCTTTTCGTTAACCTAAGTCCCAGACATGTTTCCTTTGTTCAAAGCCTTTTGATAATTTTGCATCTAAAACCAAAATTATTATTATTATTATTACTATAGATGAATCTTCCCTCTGTCAGCCAGGCTGGGGTGTAGTGGCGCAATCTCAGCTCACGGCAACCTCCGCCTCCAAGGTTCAAGCAATTCTCCTGCCTCAGACTCCCGGATAGCTGGGATTACAGGCATGCGCCACCACGCCCAGCTAATTTAGTATTTTGAGTAGAGATAGGGTTTCACCATGTTGGCCAGGCTGGTCTCGGACTCCTGACCTCAGGTGATCTACCCACCTCGGTTTCCCAAAGTTCTGGGATTATAGGTGTGAGCCACCGTGCCTGACCTGAAACCAAAATTATTACCATGGCCTTCAAGACCCTACCAGATCTGACACCACCGCCATCTCTTCTCTAGCAGGCTCTCCCCATCACTCAGCTCCCATCCCACTGACATGCTTCCCAATGTGGCTCATGCCTCCAGGCCTCTGTACCTGCTATTCCTTCTGCCGGGAACATCTTTCCCTGAGGAAGCCTTCACCCTTCAGCCCTCCCTTTCTTCTGCCTCCTCACCTGGCTTTATGTCTCTTCACTCACTTGCTTATCTGTGCTTTTTTTTTGAAACAGAGTCTTGCTGTGTCACCCAGGCTGGAGGGCAATAGTGGTGGCTTGATACCAGCTCACTGTAACCTCCACCTCATCAGTTCGAGCAATTCTTATGCCTCAGCCCCCTGAGT